TAGCGCTGTGGAATTCCCTGCACGACCCAAACACTTTCCCTCCCCTGACTTTTGTAATAACGTTTCCCCTCCATCCATCCGGGGGAGACAACAACTTATTTTGTGACACAGTCCATCGCTTTCGTGCGCCACTAGAGGGTAGCCTGGTACCCTCTATGCTCCGTGAATCGACTGCCCCTTTTTTTTTTTTTTTTTTTTTTTACAGCACTGGAGCCCTTTACGTGACTGGCTTATCAGAATGACTTCTTTGTCAAAAATCATGCATAAGAATGAAGCCCTGTTTCAGGCTTAACACGGTTATGTGCCCAAAATGGCAAAAGGGCAAAAGGGTCAGAGGTCACCGGGTGCTATTAGTGATTAGTGTGACCTCGCGGTGACCCAGTGTGGAAGATTAGCTCTCAGAGAAGACCGTTGTTGTATTTGGTATTGTGTGAATATTTCTCATCAGATAAAAGTAAATATATTTAAATAACGAGCACAGAGTCAGTGGTGATGATGGTGGTGGTGGGGGGGGGGGGGGGTATTTGTTTGTCTTTGAAAAGCCCTAGAGTCGGTGACCCACAGCTGACTAGCTGTTCCTCCAAACACAGATCCATCGGTGTGAAATATTTCGTGGCTCATAGAATGTTCAGTACAGATACTGTACATCACACCCTCAGCTCAGAACATCATGGTGCTCTGTGAACGTGCACTGACACTGACTGAGATACACGAACAAAAACATGTCTCAAAGCCATCAGAGGTTAATTGTTGCTAATTTCATGTTTTGCCAGAAAAAAGAAGCCTTTTAAAAATACCCCCGTGCAGTGAGTGAGAGAATGAGGCCACAGTCTGTACAAATTGTCCTTGCCCCCGTCTCCTCCTCCCATGTAGACTGTTAGATGCCTTTTGCTAACAAGAAGTCTATACTTCATTCATCACCAAAGAGGAAGGGGGAGAGACGGTGGGGGGGGGAGGGTGTAGGGTGTAGAGCCCGGGCTGCCAGATGATGGAGGAGGGCAGATTGACCAACCAAAGAAAAACCTCCAACTTCAGATGATGGTTTAACATTTCTTTCACATAAGAGATTCATCACAAGTGGCATCGCTGTTTCAAGTAGATAATAAAAAAAAAAGCCTAACTGAGATACTTGAAGAAAAACGCTTTTGTGTCTGTGTGTGTGTGTGTGTGAACAGCTGAAGCATCTGACAGGAATGTGTGCTAGTGTGACTGACCGCAGGTGCATGTTTCTCTCTGGGCTCCAATCACTCCCCACTCCTCTGGTGTTGATATGATGTTTGGCCCCTCTCAGTTGTGCCTTTTTTTTTTTTTTTTTTTGAACTACTGACACCCTGGTGTTGACGAGGAGACGCTGTAATCACCCTGCGGTGTTTACGACCGTCGCTTCTGTTGCTTGATATCGCTACGGTCGCTGCAACAGCCTCCTCTCCTTCACTTGATTGCTTGGTCTTTGTACAGCGCTTCTTTCACTCTTACTGTTATGAAAAAGGAATGATTTAACATGCCGTCATATTTGGGGTTTAAGTACTAAAAAAAGTTACCTTTTTGATTCCTGGTGATTGTGCTGAGTCCCTGTGGTTAACATAAGAAGGTCAAGTAAGAAAAAAAAAACAAAAGTAAAACATTATAACTTTAACAATTGTGCAAGAATGTTTCCTTCTATAGAAGGTCACAATCTACTTCTTTTCCTTGTCTGAAATTAAAATGCCTTTCAACAGTTTTATCAGTTTTAGAAAAATAAAAAAATGAATGGAGCCAAACAAAAACCTGTTTTAAAGGTTCATTCATTTAACAGATTACCATTCAAGTTTTGTTACAAATGAAGTTAGGGAGTTCATTATTGAGGGGAAAATAACAAAACAAAAAATATTTTTAAAAAACTTGCGACTTTGAAAGTTAACTTTAATGTAAATACATTTATAAGTTTCCCTCGTACGAAGCTGAGTCCATGGCAGCAGCACAGCAACAACTCCGTTTCATCAAATGGAAACAAAATTACATAACTGTAAAGATACTTCTTCTGTTGGTGGTGAAGATGGTTGAAATGTAGACGTAAAATAAAAGACGACAGCGACATTATGTTGTTGTTTTTTTTTTTTTACCAACAAGCTGAAAATGGCCGAGTGTGAAATGATATGTGACATCAAAAACATTAAGAATATTAAGCATTTACTGCTATCTACTAAACATAACCAACTGACTGGATGTCATGAATCGATTTGTTGTTTGGTTCTTGACATTGTACCAGGGCTGAGGAGCCACATGTGGAACCAGTAGCCACAGGTTGCAGACCTCTGGTCTGTGGTAGTCCTTTAGAAGAAGAGAGTGAAGACCAAACCCTCTAACAGACTTCAAATGCTGTCCCTTCCACTGTTCGTACCTTCGTCTCACACTTCCTGTCAGAAACTTCTCTCCATGTTTTCCTTCTTGGATGCCGTTGTGTCTCTCAGTCTCTGGGATTTATGTGCTCTAGTAAAATTGCCATCTGTTTCCCTGTGAACAACTACAGTTCCACCCTGGCAATCTTTGTAAATGGATCGCTGTTTATCTACTTAGCACAAATATGGCTTGTGGTTTATCATTATTTACCTTTGAATCTCAATTATTTAGCACACCACCAGCCTGAGCCTTATATTAAATTATATTAAAATTTTCCAGTGACACAAAATTAACGACTGTCTTCACCTTCTTAAAAAAGTTCAGTCTATGCGACACTTACGGTAACGACTTTCCTTTTTGAGGTTGGGGGTATGTTTTACGGCTGTATTATTATCCTCACTACATTTATTTTTTATTTCACACTCTTCTGTAAAGTCTGGATGAATATCCTTCATGTATTTTTGTCCCAAGTAGCAGGATCCATTACATACAGTCAGGTTGAGCTTTGCTGATAATACATGAAAAAAGAGGACGTCTTATCAAAATAAGAGTCTTATATGATGAATGGAATCTTGATCTGTCTTTTATGTGATGACATGAAGTGAGAAATCTACTTACATATTGAAGCAATTAAAAAAAAGTGTTCTGCTGTATGGAGGCTGTGAGTCATAGATGTCAAATCTGTCCATTACTGCACTGAGAGACCAACCTGACTTCACATTAAAAAAAAAATAAAACCTTGCGTCAGTCAAAAGGCATTAAATCCTACATTACTGGTCTTTCTCTTTCAACATAAATTGAATGAACGCAACTTAGCACCGTTGGTAACTATTGATCTTTGAACACTTTTTATGTCAAATCTGACACGATGCCTTCAAGTATCCTACTGCTCAATAAACACAGCTGATATGGGGTTGTGTTCAAGGTGTGTCAATGTGACGGCAGGCTGGTTCTTTATCCTCATGAGCAGCCAACGTTGTCTACTGCAGTGAGTGAGTGTGACTGTAGTTAGCAGCAGCAGCAGCAGCAGCAGCAGCAGCAGCAGCTTCTGCCTCTTTCTATCTGCTGAAAGTCTTGCATAAGGATTTCAAGTGGGAGCAGATAGTGAAGTCATAGATTCTTACTGAAACCCTTGTCAGGAGTGGAGTACTGACTGTACAGTCTCTGCAAAAGTGCAGCAGAAACAGATGAACCTGCAATAAAAAAAAATAGGGGAGGCTGGTGCAAATGTGGATGTATTTAAAGTGCCATTAGAGCCATTAGGTATTGCTCATCCATGAGGTTGGGGAGCTTTTAGAAAATGAACGGTTGAAATTAGGCAGCGCAGCCTGAGATGTCCTGGATTTTACCTCCTTGTATTCATCAATGTCCAAATATGCTGAAACCAACACTTCCCATAATTACACTCAGTTATGTCTTTTATTGGATTGTCCCTGACTGGTAATTGTCTTTTAAACCTCCTCGCCTCCCGTTTGTCCCACAGACTCAG